GAAACGCAGGCTCAGCAGCCATGGCTCACGGGCCCAGGCGCTCCGCGGCATGTGGGATCTTCCCGGACCGGGTCACGAACCCGTGTCCCCTGCATCGGCAGGCGGAGTCTCAACCACTGCGCTGCCAGGGAAGCCCCATCCTCAAATCTTAAGTGCATACCTCAGGCAATTCTAATGTATAGCCGGGTTTGAGAAGCACTGCTAATAGAAATTTCTTTTTTGCACTGTTAATGTTTCTGTAATATAGTCATCTTAGCTCTTTGTGGTGCTTTAATTGTTTCCTTTATAATCATTTACTTTTCCAGTGTGTCTAAAGTGAGCACAACTTGGAAGAAGATTCTAGAAGATGATAGGGGGGCATTGCAATTGTACAATAAAGCAATACAAAGAATTACCGTAAGTCTTTTGCAGTTGTTTTAATTTTAAAATATAACAGCTAGTGCTCTTTACCTTTGAAATTGGAGGGGTAAATAGCAAGAATAACAGATGATCTGGAAATCCTTTACATTTGTAACTCATTAAAATAATTCAAAAATAAATGGGATGGGATCCCACCCCAGTCGTTTATTTCTTGGGTTCTCCATGAAAGGAAATGTCCGAAGATAAAGGGAAAACTACTCAGATCTCAGTGAGAGTTGACCATATAGCTAATCTTGGTTGCCATTTGTAGTTTAGCTGTTAACAAATAAACAGTAATTATCTACATATTGAAGATTCTTAATGCAGGAAAGGAATTTATTTACTTTACCAAATACTTAGTAACTTTGGAGATGTTTCTGAGAATAAAGATCGACACATGATTAAAATTTCAGGCCTAGGAGTTGGCAGACTTAGGTCCAAATTTTGGTGCTGCTGCTTACTAGCTGTGTGGCTTTAGACAAGCATTGCTTAAATTCTCCAAGTTCAGTTTCTTTATGTATAAGCTGGTGTTAATGGAAACTTTTCTATTCCAGGATTGTTCACTGAGGGGACACTTAAACAGTGACTGTTGCCATCTAGTGGTGGATGGGGAGAATGACCTTTTGTTCTAGTGGTAGTGCTTTATAAATTGTGTATTAAATGCTACATACTAAGAGTGTAAAGCGCTTTCTCACAATTTCTGATTTGCAGTTTCACTCAACAGCTTAGTTGTTAGGCCTTAAGTGTGTGAATAGTTGTGGGTGGCTGTGTTTAAGCACATGCAGGTAATTTGGATGCAGGAATAAATCCTTTATATTCTCATTTGCCCCTTTTACATGTACAACATGTACAAACATAATAAAAATTCCTGATTGTTGAGAATATAGGAGAATATTTTTTAATCCTATTAAAACCTTTTTTTTTTAATTAGGAAAAGAACATTAAGTTTTCACCACACGCTTCAACCAGAGAATATGTTTTATTCAGAACCCCATTAGTATCCGTGCAAAAGTCAGCCACCCAGACTCTCCCCAAAAAAGACGCTCGAACCAAGTTACCTGATCCAGGTGATCAGAAAGGTTCTACTTACAGTCGACACAGTGAATTCTCTGAGGTAATTTTTTGTTTATTAATAAATTAGAAACATATGGGACATTTATTGTTAAAAGGATTTAGAGTAAGAAAACCATTTATAACTCAACTAATCAAATTAGGGAATTACACAGAGATGTCTTTCTATGCCGAAAATAATAGATATCATTTGGCATTGTTTATGACAGTTCAATGTTGTTGAGATCTAATTTGGAAACAAAGAGAATAAGGAAAAACCTTGATTTTGAAGTTTTTTTATAAAACTGTTAAATGCTACGTTTCACAATTACTGTCTTTAATAACTGATGAAGAGAGCTAAGCAAGAAGTCAATTTTATCAGGCACCGCATAGATATGGAAACATGGTAACCTTCATAGCAATATAAAGATAAATGCCATATAATGTGATAGGTGTTTTTAAAAAAGTAGAACTGGAGGTGAAAGAGCAGCCAACTCCTGAGTGACTCCAGGAAGATTTCACAGAAAAGGTGACATTTAAGTTCTGCATTGATGTGTGAGTAGCAGTTATGAATAAGAGCATGTTTGTAGCATTAGGAAATAGCCACTGGATCAGTTGACAGTGGTTTCTCACCTGTTGAACAGTAAGCTCCTTAAAGGCAGGAGTTGTGACATTAGTGCTTTATACATGTATTGGGGAAGGCACAGAGGTGCCCTTGTTTTGACTAACTAAATTACATTCAGTCCTTACTAAAATTTGTTTATGGATTTTCTTCTTTCTAGGTTGCCAGAACTTTGAAAAAGAACGAAAGCCTCAAAGCCTGTATTCGCTGTAATTCACCTGCAAAATACGATTGTTATTTACAACGGGCAACCTGTAAACGAGAAGGCTGTGGATTTGATTATTGCACAAGGTGCCTGTGTAATTATCATACCACTGAAGACTGTTCAAATGGCAAGCCCCTAAAAGCCAGTTATAAAATGGGTCCTTTGCCTGGTACTAAGAAAAGCAAGAAGAATTTACGACGTCTGTGATCTCTTAATAAATCAGTTGTAAGTGATCTTGAAGGTTAGTTAGAAAATGTTAGGTTTTAACTTAAAAAAATAAAAAATAAATGTACTATGATGTTCAATTTTATGTTGAAATCAGTGTAGTACATGGGATTTTTTTCCGCCAGTGAGAAGAGAGGATACACAAACTCTTAAAATATTTTACAATTTAATGTGAAAAAATTCAAAATTCTCAATATAAATCAGAAAATTTAAATATGTTAAGAAAAACTTTTTCTGATGATTGTGATTCAGAGGTAAAATAAAATTGTCTCAATTTTATGGTAAAGGAGGACCATGTAATTTTACCTGGACAATCTTAAATGTAAATCTTCTTTACCATCCATTAGCATTTGAGACATTTTATTTGCTTTACCAAATTAATAATACCTATTGAAATAATCAGCTTCTGATGTCTGTTAGTTTAAATGTTTTGTCACCTTTCTTGAACCTCTTTTTCAGTGTGTGTATTTCCCAAAAAAGTATCTTTTGTGAAATCTTGCTTTTCGTTATTCGTAAGGTTTGTATGTTTTAATATTTTGTACATATGTAAATATTTCTGTATTTTTTATGTGCCGGAGTAAGAAAATAAATGTCTCTTTTGTATATACATGTAAATAAACTTTTCTCCTGTTATGAATAAAATTGTTACAAGCTTAATAAATAATGTGAGTCTTTTATTTAAACATTTTAAACCTGGAAACAGCCGAAGTAAGAAGCTGTAGGACACTGCCTGGTATGTGTGAAGGCATTGAGTGGGTCTTTGTCTCCTTATCTGAGGATGTTGTGAGATTACCAGGCTCTGTTCCAGGCTCTATTCCAGTTTTCTCCCCACCCAGTATCCTAGTAGTTGTGTAATTGGGTCTTGAAATAAGCATCTCAGGATGGTTCAATACAGGAGGACCATAAAACACTCTTTGAGGAATACTGGTGTATTAATTCATTCATCACTAAGCCAGTTAAACTGTATGGCTTAAACAGCCACAAAAGAAATATATAAAACTATACTAGAAAGATAAAAAATAGTATGTAGAATAAAATGTCTGACTGCAATCAGAGCATTTGTGCTAATAAGAGCCCAGGATAGGGACTTTTTTTTTTTATTCCTTAATTCTAATGTTGAATATATTTTGGTTTCAATTACGGATATGGAGGAATTAGAGAGTTTTAATTCAGATCTACCAAAGGCATAGACAAAGGTGGGCCACACAGGTGCTCTCAGTAGGTCCTCACAGAAGCTTAAGGGCTTTGCCCTTGATCTCAGCAGAAACCTAAGGTAGAGGATTGATCTCAAGTGGGTTTGTGGGTATGTCTTTTGTCTAATGGAGTAGAACCTCCAATAAAATTAACACAGGTTTGCTTAAGCTTTGTTGATGTAAAATTGACAAAAATATTAAAGTGTATAATTTGATGTTTTGACATGCGTGCATGTAGCTATCATTATCGCTGGAACGAAGGTAATGAATATTACCATCATCCACGGGGTTTTTCCTGCTTATTTGTAATCCCTCCTGTTAGTCCCCAGGCAATCACTGATCTGTCACTGGAGATTAGTTTGCCTTTCCTAGAATTTTGTATAAATGAAATAATTATGTGTTACTTGTCTGACTACTTTCAAAGAACATTACTTTGAGATTCATCCATTTTGTGTGTACCAGTAGTTCATCCCTGTTTCTTAATAAGCAGTATACTATTGGATATACCAGTTTGTTCATATGTGTGTTCACCCTGGTAGTTGGACATTTGGATTTTTTGCCCAGTTTTTTGCTATTAGAAATGAAGGTGCTGTGATCATTTGTATATGAGTCTTTGCAAGTGGTATTCTTTCATTTCTCTTGGTAAATATCTAGTAATGGAATTTTTGGATTATATGGTCAGTGTGTGTTTAACTTTTTAAGAAAATACTAAAATGTTTCCAAAGTGGCTGTACCATTTTACATTCTCACCAGCAGTGTATGAGCATCCCATTTATTTCATGTGGTCATCAGCACTTGGTATAGTCTGTCTTTAATTTTAGCCATTTTAATGTGTATGTAGCAGTATGTCATGGTTTTAATTTACATCTCCCTAATGACTAATGATGTTTGGCATTGTTATTTGCCATCATACATTTTCTTTGGGCAAGTGTCTATCAAATGATTTGTGTGTGTGTGTGTGTTATTATTGATATGTGAGAGTATATACTCTGAGCACAAGTGCTTTATCAGGGTGTGTCTTGTCTTTCATTTTCCTAGAGTTTTTATTTTTGATCAAGTATAAATTATCAATTATTTGTCTTTACTACATCATGCTTTTGGTGTTACATCTCAGAAATTTGCCTAACCTAAGAGCATATATATCTCCTATGTTTTCTTCTAGAAGCTTTATAGTTTTAAATTTAACATTTAGGTCTATGATCCACTTGCAGTTTACATTTGGAACGTAGTGGGAGGTATCGACTGAAATGAGTGTCCACTTGTTCCAGCATCATTTGTTGACATATCCTTTCTTTACTGAAATGACTTTTCATCTTGGTCAAAAATCAGTTTTACATAAACATGGGGGACTATTTCAGGACTCTATTCTGTTTAATTGACCTATTTGTCTCTCGAACTCCAAAACCACACTGCCTTGATCACTAGCTTTATGTCTTAAAATGAAGTAGTGACAGTCCTTTTCTCTTTTATTTCACAAAAAAATATTTTCTAAGTTGTTTATCGTAGGTCCTTTGCATTTCGACATAAACTTTATAATTAACTTGACAATTTCTACAAAAATACATAATGGGTTTTGATTGAGATTGCAATGAACCTATTAATCTATTGGATTAGGTTAGGAGGAGAGAATTGTCATCTCAACAACATTGAGTTTCCCAACCTGTGTACGCAGTAGTTATTCCATTTATTTACATTTTTTTAAATTTCTCTTAGCGATGTTTTGTCTTCTAAGCGTCATGTCTTGCACATCTTATGTCCGATTTATTCCTAAATATTTTATATTTTAATGCTATTGTAAATGGTGTCTTTAATTTCAATTTTTGATTATTGTTAATATATTGAAATGTAATTGATTGAACTTGTAGCTTACAACCTTGGTAAACTCAATTAGTTATCGGATTTTCTATGTAGATGATCTGTGTCTTCTGAAAGTAAAGACAGTTTTATTTCTTCCATTACAGTCTATATGCCTTTTATTTCTTTTTCTTGCCATATTATACTGTCTTAAACCTCCAGCAAAATGTAGAATAGAATAGCCTTTAAAATATCCCCCAATAATGCCAACCTCTTGGTATTTACAACTGTGTGTAATCTACACTGCCTCAGGTTTGGTCTACATGACTAATAGAATACAGCAGAAGTGATGGCGTGTCACTTCCAAGACTAGGTTATAAAAGACATGGTGATTTCTACCTCCTTTTTTCTCTCTCATCACCCACTGGGGCAAAGTCCATTGTGAGCAGCTTATAGAAAGGCCCACACCGTGGGGAACTGAGGTCTCTGTAAAGTCCCAAATGGCTTCCTCCCAATTGCCAAGTCTGTGAGTCTTCTTGAAAGCAGGTCCTCCAGCTCCAGTCCAGCCTTCAGACTTCAGTCCCTGTCAACATCCTGAGTACAAACTGAGTCACCCAACTAAGCTGCTCCCAAATTCCTGCGCCCACCCCAGATCATAACTTTTTTGTTTTAAGCCCCAAAGTTTGAGGAAGATACCTTATGCAGTAATAGATAACTCATACAAAGTGGGCACACCTTTCTAGGAGCCTTGGACAAGAGGAAGATGAACAGAAGTCTTTCATCACACCCTTCACTTAGCTATACTAATTAATATTAAGAAGGTCAAGTCTTCCCCAGGACTCTGAGATGTATAATTTCTCGGCCTGGAATCAACACTAATGTTAAGTACAGGAGGCTAAGCCATCTTGCATCTGTGTAGAATGTCTCTGAATAAAGAACACATACTCCCAGACCAAAATAGGTTTGGGACTAGTATGATCACCAAAATGGACTATTTTAAGTCTGCTACAGAAGGAGTATAATGAGTAACTTATAGATATTACTATTTTCATGGTGACTGTGATACATACGGTATTTTTTTTTTAATGATTCATTTTTTTTTACAGAAAATCATAGTACTGGCTTAAAGCTTCCTAAAACTTCTTTGTTTGTGTTCTGGCATCCAGGGAGACCCTATATGTTTTATGGATTGAATCTAAATAAATTTTATGTCAAAAGATCCCTTAGGTGGTTCAAGTTGTGACAAGAACACATGACGACATTCAGAAGGGCCCTTGAGCTGAACCTGGTCACACGTGGTCTCTACTGGGAGCTAGTCTCCAAAATGACTTCCTTTACGTGGCTTCTCTGGTTAAGCCATTGAGCAGACTGACTTCTCAGAGTCACTCTTGGCCCCCTAACACGGTGCTGGGACCAACTGGTATTTCTGATTCGTTGAAGTGACCATTTAGTGGCAAATCCTACTTCATTGAGGACTTTAATGAAGAAAGTTCAGGTTTGGCAGCTCCGTAGTAGATCTGTTATCACTTATGATGGTGGAGATTATATTCTAGGGTTTCTGCTAAAATGTCAATGTGTTCGTATGTTTTGTGAGCGTTCTCCTTGTCATATTTCACTGGAGTAAATACTGTATTCACATATTAGCACTAAAGCCTTGCTTGCCTTTACCAAGGTTCATGCTGGAGTGTTATCTGACTCCCAGAGTTTAGCATTTCCATGTCCTCTATCTAGCTGGGAAGTTTGTTAAGCCTAGTTCATACAACTCGAGGGTCTGCCTGAAAGTTTGCAGATGAGAGAGGACAATGGTCGTTCCTCCACTATTACTTAAAATCTAAGAAATTTAATTTCTTAAAATCATAATCTTATCCTGATTGCTTGGCATTGTTCCCTTTTCCCCAAGTTCTGTTTCAACAATATAAACAGCACAATGCCACAAGATGGTGCTCTTATAACACCATACTTTTGAATTTGTTCATTCATCTGAAATTTAATGTA